GAGGGATTTGATCTTCAGTTCTTCAGAATCAACTTGATGTCATGAACCCTTCAATCACTTCTTCTATGGCAGTTGCCATTGCTGACTTCCGCCATTGCTGACTTTTTTATCCCAGAGGTTGCCATTGCTGACCTTTTTTTATCCCAGAGGTTGCCATTGCTGACTTTTTTTATCCCAGAGGTTGCCACGTGGGATTGTTCCTTCTTCTGGGCTCCCTCTTCCTATTTTGGGCCTGTGAGGCCCAAATCAGCCTTGTTTGCTCTGATGAGCCTTGGGCTGGACTCTTCTGGTTTTTCGGGCTTCCATCTTTTCGCTGGGCTGGGTGTGTCAATTTTTGGCCCAAACAATGCCCTCTTAAGTCTGAATCGTTTTGGAACGGTTTCAGACTTAAATGACATGGCCATTAAATTGGCACGTGGTCATCAACATGCAAGTTATAGAAGGTAATCTCTCAGTTCTGTCTGTTGTTGCCCATTCTGTTTTTAGTGATGATGCTAATTTTTCTGTCTGTACTCAGATCCCTTTTTGACAAAGAATATAGGGAGCCAACCAGCCCGAAGTGGAGAGGTGTGTTTTGACAGTTTCCTCTTTGAATTCTTCATAATCTTGTTCTGTCAAACTTATTTTTTTTTCTATTGATGGAACGAACGGAAAACAGAAGTAGAAGTACAACAAAAAGGGACAAACTCAAAACAAATCTAAAACAAGGGTAATTTTGAAAGGAATCAAAAGATTTTTAGTGTAATCTTGTGTCTATCCCAGGGTCTGTTTGTACAGCCTGCGAATCCCACATGGTTGGATAAAACTTTTTTAACCATTTGCCATTGATTGGGGCCGTATGAATTTCTCCATCCCTATCCTGCAACCTGTATGCCCCCATTCCGAGGATCTGATTGATTATGAAAGGGCCTTCCCATGTAGGCGACCATTTTCCATAACCAGCCACATGGGTTCCGAGGGGCAGAACTGCTTTCCAGACTATCTCCCCTTCTTCAAAACTCTTGTTCCTGACTCTCTTGTTGTAGGCCCTTGATACAGCCTGTTTTCCTGCCAGGAGTTTGTTGAGAGTGTCAATTCTGCTTGCATCCAATCCTGTATGATTGTTCGTCATTTTACTTTGAGTTGGTCACCTGAAGTTACCTCTAATGTTGAGTGACGTTTCATACGTGATGGGATTAGGCTCAGAATTTCATTATCTTCTATAGAATCAACATGAACTCTACTTTTCAACTCTTGTTGGTTTTTCTCTTCAGATGGCTTGCTTGGAACTCTGAGTCTTTCTAGCGTCGATCTACGTGGAACTGATCAAATTGCCTTTTGACTATTATATCCAGATATCCTTTTGAACACAAAGGGTCGTGATGTTGATTCTTTGATGCGGCTAAAAACTAAGGTCCGTTGGGTAAGCTTGGCTAAACGGTCAAACACTGAGGTTTTCTTCGTAGCCTTTAATTCTTCTTCCTCTTCGACCACTTCGATACTAAGATCTCCCAGCAAAGTCATAACCTGCCTTTGACATGAGCTTATAGGCATTAGGATCAAAACCTTCTTTAGTTCTTTTGACAAGAAGAGATTCGTGTCTTGTTGCGTCTTATGATGGTTTGATGAACCTTGGTATAGAAGATTTCGAAACGTCTGAATTACTCAACTTGGGCAAAGGCATGGTTGTCGACTCCTTCAAAAACTTCATGTCACTTTCCCCTAACTTCCTTGGTTTTACTTCTTTTACAAATGGGGATTGTCCTTCCTTTCGTCGATATGATGAAACATAATGAAGAATAGGAATGGACACCTTCTATGAATCTATCGGTGATAAGCCCATTTGTCCAAATGAAGTGCTTTTTGATTTCTTATCGTCATTCTCTTCAGTGGAAAGGCCCTTTGAATGCTCATCTCTTCTTGGTATGGCCGTGCTTGTCGAGTGAACCTCAATTGGAATAACTTCAGATGCCATGTCTTCATTCATACAAAATTTTCTTCCCTTGGGATATGACAGGACCCGCCCCGGAATTTCCCCCGAAACCGGGGCGGACCCCGTATTGTTGCCGACATCATACCGATGCCGGGCCCACTTACTAAAACC